GTTCGTCGTCGTGTGTGTGTGTGTGTGTGTGTGTGTGTGTGTGTGTGTGTGTGTGTGTGTGTGTGTGTGTTCGCAGAGCACAAACAAAAGTTGGAGAGGCAAAGCCTTCCCGCATGAATTGTGGCCAAACGAAAGCAGTGGCAAAACGAAAAGCAGGGCAACCCAAGCAATCACCATGGCATGCAGCCGTTCGCACCATGGTAGCGGCGACGTATTCGTTGGCCTCTTCCTCGTTGTCACGGAACTTCTTCCTGGCCACGCGAGACAGGCTGGCGTGTTCCAAACACGCGACGGTACGCAAGGTACGAACGAGCCACACGACATGTGTAAAGGTGAGACGCGTGCAAATGCAATGAGCAGAACCGGGCAATGTCTCCGGCGTGGTGTTACCAAATGAAAGGACACGCCATAGCTTCGTAACGCGTGTATGTGCGCGCGATAAGCACACGCGAGCACCCAAACAAACGCACAAACAAACAAACAAACAAACAACCGCACAACAAACAAAGAAACAAACACAACACACAAACAAAACAACCACACACAACACACAAACACAAACAAACAAACAAACACAACCACACACAAACAAACAAACACACACAACACACAAACACAACACACAAACAACCACACAACCAACAACAAACACAAACAGAACCTGTTCTCGATGCGCTTCAGGCCAGCATCAAGGACGTCGCTGGAGACATCCACAAGGCAGACCTGTGGCAGAGAAAAGGGGCGCCAGTGTCACATCTGTCAGCTGGGAATGCCTATCGCATTCCAAAACAGCTTTGTTGTGTGATAATGTAACATCACAACACCAGCCAATCCACAACCACGCTTCACACACACACACATACACACATCACATCATGAAAGCGTTCGCACCTTATGGCTGGTGGCTGCCGCCACCTGGGCGATGCCGCCTCCCTGTGGTCAGACATCAATTCCACGCCAACGGAAAAGGTGAGGGGAACACGCTTGTTCGCAGCCGGCTCAAAACAACCAACACCAGCAGAACAACGACGCAGTCAAGTCATGTCAAGATCCAACCAACCAAACACAGAAAGAACAACAACAGACCTGACTGCCCTCGATTGGCTGTTCACCACCAAGGTGCAGTGCACTTACACACACACACACACTTACACATTTACACACATATACACACCATGAGGCCAGCACCAAGCACGGTCACGTGCTGGACAGCGGCAAGGCAACGGGTCGCACGATGCATTGTTCTTGGTGTTGTTGACAACAAAGATGACGATGGAGGCAGCAAGGAGATGAGTCAGTGAGCGAGAAATGGATTGGTGTGGTTGTGGAACATTGATGAATATCATCACCCATTTTTCTACATTGCGTCGTTTGGCGTCCTTCCACGGCCACCAAACCAGACAAGTGTTTGACTGACTGCAGCAATGCCCGCGGACAAGGCCAAGGCCTCCTCCCCGCAGAAGGGGAAGAAAGGTGGTGCTTTGTCGCATCAGAAGCAGAAGAAGAACAAGGCGGCAGGGTCCAAGAAGGGCACAGGCCCAGGGTTCCTGTCCCTGAGCTTTTGCATGGCCCTTGTCGCAGCAGGAGCATACTTCCTCTACCAAAACCCTGAAGGTGTGTCCGCATGTGTGTAGGTGTGTGTGTGTGTGTTTGCGCACACGCGCGTGTGAATTTACATGTGTGTGTGTGTGTGTGTTTCCATGTGTGTGTGTGTGTGTGCTTACATGTGTGTGAGTGTGTGCTTACATGTGTGTGAGTGTGTGCTTACATGTGTGTGTGTGTGTGTGAATGCACTCAGGTCACACGCAACAACCCACATGATCCGTGCTCTTCTTCACGGCTTTCCCCTTCATCGCCGTCTCCTCCCCCTTCACCCTCATCTCTCATCGCCGCTTCCTTTCTTTTTTGACAGGACTGGAGCCATGGACCGGTATGCGGCATCCAAACAAGCCTTACAAGACATTCATGGATTTCTACCCATACTACCAGGAGGAGCACACGGACAAGACGTGCAGACTCCTCCACATCATGTATGCAACAGCCCTGCCCTTTAGACGTGTTTGCCAGGGGCAATCCGTGGCCTCAAATGCTGTGCTGCGGGACTGCTTGTTCTCCCCTCTTCCCGCGCACACATCCTCAGAGATCACCAGCATGTCATTTCTTCACGCCAGCAGCCACCAAGTTGCTGTGTTGCTTCACACCTAGTCGCTCGCTCACGGATACGCACACACACACACACACACACACACACACACACACACACACACACACACACACACACACACACACACACACACACACATAACCAACTGCGATCGCCGGTGCAGCGGGACAAGCATTGTGCTGACCATCATGGCTGCCTCTCCTTCAACGTTTGTGTCCATGGCGCTGGCGTTTGTTGTGGCGTATGCCTGCTGCGGGCTGTTCGCCTTCATGCCCAATGGCGCCGCAGAGGCTGCTGTCATGGTGACCGTCTTCTTCTCCACCCACTACTTCCTCAAGCGCTCCATCAAGCTTGTAAGTTCCCCCCTCCCACTTGGCATGGCGTGTTTGTTTCCACGCACTGTTGTGTTGTTCGTGTGGGGACGCCCCACACCCTTCAACAAGAGAACACACACACACACACACACACACACACACACACACACACACACACACACACACACACACACACACGCACACACACGCACACACACACACACACACACACGCACACGCATACACACGCACACGCACACACACACACATACATACATCTACACACACACACACGCTCACTCCCCCTCCCTCCCACACACACACACATACATACATCTACACACACACACACCCGATACCGCGCACGCGTAGGCGCTGGTTGTTATGCTGGTCGGGTATGCGTTTGCGTGGGTTGGCCATTTCTTCTTTGAGCAGAACAAGCCCGCCACCTTCATCTACGTGAGTAGTGTTGCTGTCTACTGAGTTGCGCAGTCCCGCTGTTTGTGCTTGCCTGGTCTCTTGCACATGTTTAATTACGCGTGCTGATTCAGGCACACTGCACACACGCATGCGTTCTTTTCCCTTGTCTCTCTGTGTGGCGCTCGCTACTCCACATAACTCACACTCACTCCCTCACTCACTCACCCTCACTCTCACTCATTTCCACACACACACACACACCCTCACTCTCACTCATTTCCACGCACACCACACACACACACACACATTTCACTCGCGCACACGCACACACACGCGCACGCACACACGCGCACACGCGCGCGCACACACACACAGCCATCTTTCAGCTTGATGTCCGACTTCTTCATGACGTTCCGCGTCATCACCCAAGTGGAACCACTCGATCCACGCGCCTGAGTGAAGCAGTTCATTGCGTCACGCACACACCGCCACGACATGTACAAGCACACGACCGCCTCTGTTACATCAAAGTCCTATCGTCACAGCCTTCCTCTCCCTTCCCACCTGACAATCCTCCTCCCTTGTTGCATGTTTGCACGCTTGCTTGCGTGCTTGCGTGCTTGCGTGCTTGCTTTGCTTTGCTTGCTTGCAAACAGCCGTTGCCAACACAATGCCCCCGACGTAAACCCCTTCACTCCCGAGTGCTTCGCGATGCTACAAAACGCCGTCATGAAAGTTCCCTTGTTTCATTCACAATTTTCTGCGATTTTTAGCTTGCTCTCGGCTCAGCAACCGGCACCGACTGTGTCAGGCTAGCATTATTTTCCTCCTATCTGCGCAAGCGAACACAGACCGGCACGCCTCACCCCAACACACACACACACACACACACACACACACACACACACACGTACACCCCGCGACTCGCCGTGCCTCCTCTGGCAACCGTTGTTGTCTCTCGCCTGTCGTGTAAGTTGGTGTCTCCTCGCTTGCTTGGTGTCGGTGTGCACAAACGGTTACTTTTGTTGGTTGCGACTCGCCCGCTTACCTACCGCGCGCTACGGGTGACACACACACACACATCCAAACAAACAACTCGGACAAGAGGTAAGATCGGCGCCCACACGTTACCCCGTGACCATCACCATGCATACATGCAAGCGTTATTGCCGTTGAGCCAAGCAATGTGACTGACTGTCTGTATGTTTGCACTGCCAACACTCGTCTGTTGTTTGTTCACGCTATCGTTTCCATGGAGGGGGGGGGGGTCATGAGTGCCAAAAGCATGCCGCTTTCGTACCGCTTCCATGGTCTGCGAAAACCCACGATCAAGTCCATTGTTCTTTCAAATCAGCATCTTCCCTCTCTCACATCTGCGTTGTGTCGGCTGAATATCCTCTTGGCACACAGGGCCTGCACCAGTGTCCTCGTATCCACCACTCGATCCTCGTCACGCACGCCCGCGTGCTCGTTCTTCCACTTTCTTCTGTCCCGTTTTGTTGCTGGACCGCTCCTGTCTACGGTTTGCTTGAAGCTTGTTTTCACTTGCTTGTGACACCTTTCATCCCTCGTAACGCGCAGCAGTCAAACGCTCGAAGCGACAACCAACCATGCCTCGTATGGAGGTGTCGACATCCATGCAGCTGTCGGATGTCCAGGTATGACTGCTGTGCCTTGGCAGTGCGCGTGTCCACGTCCACGTGCTTGCCCACGCACGTGTGCATGGGTGCGTGTATGCATGGGTGCGCATAGGAGGTTGTTTGGGTGTGCGTGCGTGTGTGCATGCGTATGTGTGTGTGTGTGTGGTTGGATGTGTGTGCGTGCGTGTGTGCATGCGTGTTCGTGTGTGTTTGGTTGTTTGTTCATCGACGATGAATGACTGCTGTGAGCTCGTGCATGCTTGTATCTGTGCGCGCTCACGCGACCACAACGCATGCCTTCTTTTACATCGTGCGCCTGCCTTCAATGGTATGTCATCAGACGGACAACTACTGGCGCGACCGCTATCGCCATGACGGCATCCGCGACAAGAAGTGGCAGGAGGTATGCGCTTGCGTGTGCGTGTGTGCGCACGTGTGTGGAGGAGAGCCTTGCCATACTGCCTCGTACCTCCGGACGCTAACAACCGTGCGCTCTACATGACTTATCAGCTCACATCCCCCGCCCCATGCGCGCACACATTTGCAGAAGCCGAAGAAGCGCCGCTCATCCTCTTTCAAAGTGATGCCTGTTGCACCACAGCTGCGCCCTGTGGAGAAGGTAAACACAAATGTCGCCTTTGCTCTGGCAATGTGCACTCGTGTTGCAGAGCAGAGATCTCCTCTTCACGCTTCGTGTCGCGAATTAGCCCACCTGATCACCGTCGTGACCACCGCCTCCATCCCCCACACTACATTCTCGTTTTCTCGTTTTCACCACCACCACCACCAACACACACAACATTCCCGTTTCACGACCACCACCACTGCCCTCTGCAGAGCACGTCGCAGTCGCAACTCGCCGTGGGCGGCCGCCGGTCCTCGTACGAGTGGAGCGTCCCTGCCAAGCCAAACCGCAAGGCGCAGTCGCTGCCAAACCTGCTCGTGCCGCCGCCGCCGCTCAAGCAAAACAAGCGCCAGTACCTTGCGCCACAGCAGGGCGGCCGCTACTCGCTCTCGCCAATCCCGTCCCGCCCCACCTCCTCCATGAACCAGACGTCCCCCAAGTATCTGGTCCCGGAGGTGTGCAGCACAAACCCGTCCCCATTCACGTCTCCATCCAGCACGCGTAAGGCGTCGCTCACGTCGGCACGTATGCAGGACAAGTCCCCACGCATGGGCAGCATGGGCGCAGGAGTCGGTCTGTCGAGGGATGGAGGAAGCAAGTCCCCGGGCCAAGCCAAGCGCACGTTTGTTTCGGATATGTCCAGCATTGGCCGGAACTCCCGCCGCTCACCCTTCCGCCGCTAGCTGGCTGTCTCCTATCCCCCCCCCCCTTGCAGACTACCTCTGGTTGAACCTCTCCAACAACAATTTTCAGCTACCTCCTCGTCCTTACCTCCTTCGCCCCCCTCCTCGATGTCTCTCTCTCTCTCTCTGTGGACATTGACGCCATTGCTGTTGTTCCTACCGCCTGTTCTGTCAACCAATCCCCCTCTCACATCACCGCCGTGATGTGTTTTTTCTTCCACTGTATGCTATGATACTGCTATGATACCATTTGAATCACGTTTGTGAGTAGAATTGCTCTTCCTCGCTGACCTCTCAGGGCCCTTATTGCTGTACATTTATTCTTCCGTCCGTGTCTTCATGTGTTGTCTTTGCTTGCGCTTTCGCTTGTGTTTCGTGGGATCATCAGGCACCCCTGTGTATGGGCGCACATGTGCCACGTGTGTGTTTGTGTGTGTGTGTGTGCATGTCTGTGCACATGGAAGCGATTCGTTTGCGTGGGCATGTGCACGCGCGTGCATGTGTTCGCGATGTGATGATCGTGTTGCTTCTTGTTCCGTGGTGTGTGTTGATTGGACGGACGGGGCTTCCTTTCGTATCTGATTGACTTGATTGATTGATTGACCCACTCTTTTGTTGATTTTGCTCCCACTGAATGCATTACCGCTACCACCGCTGCCACCGCTGCCACCGCTGCCACTAATCCCCGCATGTCATATTGCTGTTGGGTGTGTTGGCGGTGGTGCGTGTGGTGGTTCTTTCCGTCCTTCAGTTCTGTTTTGGCTCGTTGAGTTTTTGCGTTTCCGTGCTGTCGGGTTGTAATCATATACACATGTGCACAAGCGAAACAGCAACAGCAAGGGACCACGAAGAGAAGGGGGGGGGGGAGGAAAAGGGTGGTGGCAGTCATGAAGGTTCAAAAGCAACACACACACACACACACACACACACACACACACACACACACACACACACACACAACATAGAGCAGAGGAGAGATATGCAGTCTGAAAGGACAAGCGTTGTTGATCAGGGGGAGGAAACAAGGGATGGTTAGCAGCCATGCATTGGTATTCCTATTGCCTGGCATCCTAGCTAGCGTGATGCATTGCTGCGGGTAGAGTGAATTGGAGAGATGGACGTGGACATGGGGGTTGAGCTGGCCGGCGTCGCTGCAAACACGATGGACACACATCGGGAGGCAGGTAGTGTGTGAGGAGGTTGACTTTGGGACGTGACAGCGTGTCATCTTGCGGCTTGCAAGAACCAGGCTTGGCATTGCTCAGCACCACAGACAGACAGACAGACAGACAAACAGACTGACAGAAGCCAGCCAGCCAGCCAGCCAGCCAGACAGACAGACAGACAGACAGACAGACAGACACACACACACACACACACACACACACACACAAACGCATACACGTACATCTGCGGGAGGAGAGCAGCCTGCGGTGGGCGGACTGGGAGGAATCGCTCGCCGTCAGGTCATACACACGAAGAAGGCGCGACAGCCGCGGGACAATCTGCACGCAAAGGATATGGTGGTGGTGGTGGTGGTGGGGTGAGGTAGGGTGGAGCGGTGAGATGTAAATGCAGTCAAGGTAATATGGTGACAGACACACAGACACACAGAGACAGCCACAGACACACACAGACACACACACACACACACACACACAGACACACACAAACACACACATTTACGCAGAGGCGTGCGCAGTACCTCGGCGATGTGCGGCCTCTGCTCTGGCGGTCCCATCCAACACTCGCGCATGACAGCGGCGATTTCGCTCGGCCACGACGCAGACACATGTGGGCGGCGGCCCGTCACAATCGACTGCTCAACATCCAGCTGCCGCCTGTTGCAGGTGTTAAGGAGAAGGGGGAAGCGGCGTTGGTGGTGTGGTGGATGGTGTGGGGGGCGGGGCGTGCGTGTGCACGAAAATGTGTGTGTGTGTGTGTGAGCATAAACATGTGTGTGTGTGTGTCGTGCAGGTGTGGCCATGCAACATACAGTAACAGCTCACCCTTCGTATGCTTCGGGTTTGCGTGTCCACAGACACCATAGGGTGACACCAAACGAGAACACGTCCGCCTTTATAACAGCAACGACGACGAAGACGACGAAGACGAGGGAGCGGAGGTGGCGGGAGATATGCGCAACGTGAGACAGCAGTAGGATAACACATAGGCCAGCTTGCACTCCCCGAAAGCACACGCACACACAGCCATTGAACACATACTCGCAAAGAGTATGCACACACACGCATACACAAGTGCAGAGCATAGCAGATGTCCATGGACGAAAAACACAGGCACACACGCACAGCACATGAGACATTTACAGCACGAATTCAGCCGCCCACACCATAGCCCACCTTGCGCGTGTATCCCGTGTCTGCGCCGTCCGTGATCTCTGGCGCTGTGAACCCTCGTGACCCAACACGCGGCGTGGGCGGACGGGCGGGCGACGTCGCCGGGAAAATATCACGCGAGCGAACGGGAATGTCGTCAAGGAGGAAGCGGCTGCTCTTGAAGTCTTTGGAGTGCGTTTGTGTGTGTGTGTGTGTGTGTGTGTGTGTGTGTGTGTGTGTGTGTGTGTCGGGGGAGGGGGTGAAGGAGGAGGGAGGGAGGAGGTTTGTTTGAAGAACGAGACAAAGAGACAAAGAATGCTTGGACAATTTCTGATGACCTACACACACATGCATACACACGAACTGTGGGCTTACTTCCAATCTTGACTGTCCAGCCGTTTGTCACCATCAGGCTCTCTGGTGTGATGTTGCGGTGCACAATTGGCGGATTGTGCACATGGAGGAAGTTGAGGCCTGACGAGTGGTAATGACAAACAGTGGGACGGGTTGATACGTGCGTGAGTGGGGACGAGCGGGAATCAGCGAGGGTGAATGTGTGCTAGCGTGGGTGGTGGGGTGTGGTCTTGATGGGACACATGCCTTTTACAAGGATGCACACACCCTCATGCACACAATCACACACCACACACTACACAACCAAACACAATTACACAAAAAACGTGCAGTGCGAATTCGTACCTGAAGCGGCGTCGAGCGCCATGGCCACACGACGCGACTTTGGAAGGTCGTGCTCATGCTGTGCACACACACACACACACACACACACACACACACACACACACACATACACACACACACACACATTGAAGGAAGGGCGAGTGGTGAGACGAGTGGTTAGTTTGGTGAGGTGTTATGACCATTCAGCAATACAAACACTATTGTACGCGTGAACCATGTGCTTGTTGCGTGCGTACAGTTGCGATGACGTCACGCAGCGAACCGCGGTCCGGTCGTTCAACGACGAAGAACTTTTGCTGGCGGCGAACGCCTGTGTATCGAGAATTGCGTGCGTGTATTTCATTGTGAGGGACGCAACATGGAGTTCAGGCATGTACATGGAAATTGTGAGCGAGTGCTTGGCCGCAATCACAGCTCACGATTCTTTATCTTCGTCCTCAACACCCCCCCCCCACACCCACACCCACCCACCCACACACACACACACATACACGGACACGAACCTGATCCGATGAAAGCGATGAGGTTTGGGTGGTTGAGGAGCGAGAGGACGTGCTCGACCTCCTCCGGGTGTGTGATGCGCGGCCCGGCGTCCACCGTCGGCACACGATTCGTCTCAAAGTACTCAACTGGTGATGGTGGTGGGGGTGGGTGGGATGACAACAGGTCCACGCACACACGCACACACACACATGTGCACACGCACACGCATAAACACACACACACACACACACACACACACACACACACACACACACACACACACACACACACACACACACACACACACGTGCGCACATGCACACATGCACTCATGTACACGCACAAACATGTGCACACACATTCTTCTTCGCATGCTCACATGCACACTTGCACAACGTGCACCATCACCACCAGACTTCACAGGCAACAAACGAGACATTCGCATCCACGCACCAATGACGGATTGGTTGAAGTAGGAGCCGTGAAATGCAGAATAGTTTGAAAAACTCGCAATCCTCTCATGGAGCGAAATGTCCTCGTGTGAAACGGTCGGAACAGAAACGGTTGAAATGCGCACATTCATCGCCCACAGCGCATCTGCACATCCAGAAAGAAAAAAAAATGCAAGAGGCGGTGACGTGAGAGTGGCAAGAACGAAATGGCATGCTCAGGGAAACCCATGTAGAAACAAGAAGCCTGCACAAACAAACAAGCAACAAGCAATCGAACACACACACACACATAGGGAGGTGCCAGCTTACCTTGCACGTGGTCCCTGACGCGACGATGAAGCTGAAGACAAGAGTGGCATGGCCAAAGCAAGATGGGCTCAAGCCAATCCTGCCAAAGCTGCGCGCAAAACGTCTGTTGTTGTTGTTGTTGTTGTTGTTGTTGTTGTTGTTGTTGTTGTTGTTGTTGTTGTTGTTGTTGTTGTTGTTGTTGTTGTTGTGGCGGTGGCGTGAGCAGTGGGAAAACAGCAAAGTGCGAAGAATAAACTTCGACGCACAAACGGCAACACTTGAGCAATCACAACAGAGACACACATGCACAGTTGCGCACATGCGCACAAACACGCAACGCGCTCACCTCATCGCGAAACGGGGGTGTTGCGCTGTCGTTGTTGTCTTGATCTTCTTCATTCTCGTCACTGTCTTGCGGGGGCGTGTTGATGCTGTACTGGCCATACCTGAAGATGGCACCATGCACGCAGAGCCGACAAATACACGTGCACAAATCAGCATGAACGTGGGAAAACAACATGTGGTGCATTGAGAACACCGGCAAGTTGGCGTGCGCGCGTTTGTGTGTGTGTGTGTGTGTGTGTGTGTGTGTGTGTGTGTGTGTGTGTGTGTGTGTGTGTGTGTGTGTGATACATGCTCGCACCTGCGGTTTGAGTCCGTGTGGAGAAGAGACTGGCGTTCAGGATCTGACGACGGCGGAAAATGTCTCCGCCAATCCAGCTGTGGTGACACGAGGGAAGTGAGAAAGAATGGAAGCACACACATACACACACACACACATGCACACACACGCACGCACACACACACGCACACACAAAGTGGTGTATCGCGTGCATGACAGCTCAGCAAAGTACGATTGGCGCTGCATGCGTACATTGTATGCTTTGACGAGCAGCGGCACGGTGATGCAGAACACATCCACAATCCACAGCGGAATCAGCCCAAACTCCCACGCACGTTTGTGCCTGAAAAACAAACAAGCACATGATAACATGACGAATGTGAGCACCAACAGCGAAGATATGGACTTGCATGCGTGCAAGGCGAGCGTATTGATGCACAGCATGCTTGCCACAAGTGCTGCATGTTAAAAATGTGTGTGTGTGTGTGTGTGTGCGCGTGTGTGTTTACGCACCATGGCCCGTGGTCCAGGGAGACGAATGCGAGGATGTACATTGAAAACTCAACCATTGACGCCAACGTGATCAGGGCGAGGGCTGGAAACGTGCAAGAAGGGGAAAGAGCGGTGGAGGAAGGAGATGAATGGAGGCGAGTGAGCAAAATGGGTGAATTACGTGTGACAATGACGTGAGACGATTGTGTGTGTGCGTGTGTGTGCTTTTGCCGAGCGGTTGTGCGAGTTCAGACCGGTGTGAGTGTGAGCGATGGTCCAGGGCGGCGGAGGCGAACGTGGCGCGAATGCAGCGAAGGCAGCGAACCACGCGAGCACAATCGTGCGCACGAGGTACACGCTGACATGCGACTGTACGTGTGCATGTAAGCAAACCCGATTTCAGCCATGCATGTAAGCGGGAGCAGTGTGATGGCATGTCAATGGTCATGAAATGTTGTTGGTGCATGTGTGAGGCGAAGGACAGTGAAGAAACAGGGACATCAGTGCGGCAGAGTCGGCGTGCTCAAGACTATCAACCAGCGTCATCGATGATATGCACAGGCACACATGTCAACACGACCAGAAGCAGCCCCAAAAAGTCAAGGCGTGTGCGCACCATCAGGAGAATGCAGTGACCAGGGGAATACTCGGAGCAGTGGGGCATGGAGATGCCGAGAGAGTAAAAGCCATATGCGGTTGGCGTCACAGCGAGTGCACCCCAGACGAACACGCGCGCAAAGCTGCCACTGAACCGGTGGAGGGTGCGTTTGTACACCGCAAACGCGTCGACAGCCATCACCAGCACCGTCAGCGCAACAATGCCAATCATGGGCACGCAGATGAGCGACTCCAGGAACCCGCACTGCCGTGGTGTAGGTGCAACGTGTGTGTGTGTGTGTGCGTGTGTAGGAAAGCGTACTGTGAATAGTGGAAAGCGAAAGCATTTGAAGAGCAGAAAGAGGGTCAGGTGCACACGCACATATGCACTCACGCACTCACGCACACACACACACACACGCACACACACACACACTCTCTCTCTCTCTCTCTCTCTCGCACACACACGCACATGCACAACGCGCGCAGACCTTGTCGCTCTTCTCCCTTGTGATTTCGTCAAACAGGATGAGGTTGATGAAAACGGGGACAGCGATGAAGGCGACGGCAAACAGCTGCACACACACATGGCCGCATTGAACATGAAACACACGCGCGAGAGAACGAGGGAACGATCAGGTGAGAATTGAATGCATTCCAAAATCGACAAACAGGCAGGCACACACAGTCACACGCACACGCACAGAGCAAGCAATAACCATCTCGGCTTGCACACCATACGCAGATGCACGCATCTGGAGTCACAAAGTCATACGTGACAGTGCACACACAGGTACTCACCACCATGATTGGAACGGCCACTCTCAACCAGCGCCACTGCGAAGATTTGCCGGTGGGTCGAAAGTACGCGTTCTGACAATGAACACAGCGGGGGGGGGGGCGTGCGTGTGTGTGCATGTGTGAGTGAGCGAGGTTATGTGTGAGTGTGTGAGTGTGTGAGCGTGCCAGTGTGACTGAGCGGATGTGAGTGTTTGTATTTGCAGGTACACGTGTGTCTGGATACATGCTTCGAGTTTCACATGTGTGCGTGTATGTGTTGAACACAACCAACCTTTGGGTCAATGCTTTCATCCTGCGATGCAAACGCTTCAACCAACTCTTCATCATCATCATCATCATCATCATCATCATCATCATCATCATCATCATCACCATCATCACCATCCCAGCCGTTCACAGTCGTTGCGTATGCTGTCGACGCTGCACGGCTGAACTTCTCAGGTGTCGTCGACTGGTGGCTCGCAACCAGCATGTGCGCCTCCTGCAACACAGATATGGGCGGGGGGAGGAAAGGAGAATTTTGTGTGAGGGGTGTGTGAGTGTGCGTGCGTGAGTGCGTGCGTGAGTGCGTGCGTGAGTGTGTGTGAGCGTGTGAGTAAGTGAGGGTGCGTAGGGGGGGGGGGGCACATGTTGGTGCACATGTGGTACAATCTGTGACATGCATGTGGCAGCACGGAGAATGCGCAATCAATGCATTCACTTCATGCCGCGCTCTGTGCATGCAGTACAGCACGTACGCTGGTCGGGGTATCTGACTGGGAGATTGTTCTGTGCATAAAGGAAATGCTTGGGTTTGCGCGGAGGAGGGCATACACGCTTGCCGTGTGGTGGCTGACGAGCGCCGCCTTCATCACCATCGGATGGCGCCCGTGGTGCCGCAGCACGCGCTCCTTGTGCTTCAGATAATACACTGGTGTGTTTGTGTGGTGTACATGCGTATGGGTGGGTGTATAGGGGTGAGGATATATGGGTGCATGGGTGGAAGTTCGTTTGGGTGTGCGTTTGCATGAGAGAGAAAGAGAATGAGAGAGAGCGAGAGAGAGTGTGTGTATGTGTGTTTGCGTTGAACTGGAAGAAAGCGTGCTCTAATGATCAAGGTGTGGCGTGAGGGAGAGCACTGCACACGGACAGTTGTCGCTGCCCACCGTATTCAAAGAAGAAGTCAAAAATCTGATCTGCGATGCGCTCATATCCAACGGGTGTCATCGTTGTTGTCGTCATTGCCGTTCCACTGCACCGCACCAGCATGTCGCGTCCTGACATGTGTGCAAACAAGAGGACAGGACACAGTGTTGGTGGTAATTGGGGTTCGCGCAAGGTAGCACGCGCGCAGTTGTGCATGTGTTTGCACGGCTGTACTTGTGCACAAGGGAAACACGGACACACACTCACACACACACTCTCACACGCACGCACACACACACACACACTCTCTCTCTCTCACAAGCACACACACACACACACACACTCTCTCTCTCTCTCTGCCGCACCTGTGAGCGGGATGCGCGTTTCCCACTGGTTGCTGTGACGACCGGTCCGAACTGTCATCTTTGACAGGCGGAGGGGGCGACGCAGCTGTCATTGTCATCGTTGTCATCGTTATCGCAGGTGGGTTGGTGGGAAAAAGGGAAAGTGTGTGTGAGTGTGTGTGTGTGTGAGTGTGAGTGTGTGTGTGAGGCAGTGAGTGATGTGTGGGTGTGTAGAAAGGGGATACACGTGCATATGTGTGAAGGGCGCTGTATGCATTGAACGACGACAAAACCGAAGCATCTGGTGGTACAACAGTGGCTTGGACAACAGCCAATGCCTCTGCATCACCTGTTCAACGGCGCGCACGTCCTCGTGTGTTCGCGTGTGATACATGCGCGGTATTGCCAGCGCTGCATTGGTGTTGGCTGCAAACAACAGGTTGTTGTTGTTGTTGTTGTTGTTGTTGTTGTTGTTGTTGTTGTTGTTGTTGTTGTTGTTGTTGTTGTTGTTGTTGTTGTTGATGATGAAGAATGTTAGGTAAGGAACACATGTGCACGCCCATCGTGCGTTGCGAGGTATGACAGTTGTTCCAACATGCACACAATCACACAACACGAGATCCCACCGTCATGTGCAAAATAGTCGATAATCTCAGCAGCTGAGAGGTTCAGGAGCGTTTCAAACGTGGACAGGCGCCGGAAAAGGGGATCTTGCATGGGGACGTGGCAGTGAAAACGCGGACACACGCGCACACGTGCGTAGGATCTGTGGTGATGTGACGGGAGGCGGTAGCAGTGAGTCTCCGTGAAATGAAATTGTGCATGGCAGCGTCATGCACGCAAGCAGTCGGTTGTGAAGCGTCCATGTGCTTGCATATCCGCGTGTGCGTGCGTGCGTGTGTGTGTGTGTGTGCGTGTGTGTGTGTGTGCGTGCGTGTGCGTGTGCGTGCGTATGAGAGTGTGTTTGTCTCCCACCTGAGTTGGAGAATCCATTCGATGATGGCCATCATGTAGAAGCTGTGCTCCTGAGACGCCAGCCCTATCACCAGCAAACGGTATGCAATTGTGTGTATGCGCGTATGGTGTGTGAATGTGCGTATGTGAACATGTGCGCGGAAACACACGTACATACACGCTCACTCCCTTCCTCTCAGTGCGTGCGTGTGTGTGCGTGCGTGTGTGCGTGTGTGTGTCCTGAGGTGTAAATCCCTGTGGTGCAACGCCAACCAACCCAGATACTCGCGGAGTGCAACTGCATTGCGGACAGCGAGGTGCTCCAACGTGCACGGCTTCTGTAAACACACACACACACACACACACAAGAATGCACACAGGGTGAGGCGATGGGGAGGCCATGAGTGCATGCGCGCGAACTCGTACATGCCCATGCACGGGCGAGACGAGGGTAACAGCAGGAAGCAGCACCAATGCGCACTTTGCATTTCTGAAGAGCTTGTGCCACCTGCGGCAGCCCGAACCGCGTGCACAGCTGGACACACACATACACACACACACACACATATATACACGTGTCAGCATGAATGAATGAATGAATTGGGGTTGTCAGCAGTCATTGAAAGAAGGATGCGAAAGCAACACAGCGAGTGAGGGGGGGGGGAGGCCGCGGAACGATGGTGCACGCAAGCACAACCATTAATGAGATCCCACACAAGCAGCACACACACACACATACACCTGCGAGCAAACGTTCACACCTGCACAAAATGGGCCTTTGTGATGAGCGGGGAGCAGAGCGGGGATGATGTTGGGTTGGGTGCGCTTTGGATGTCATGCACATCTGGATACACGTGTGGGCATGGGAAGCGGAGATGGGAGGGACGCAGGAACACGTGAGCAACGTGCGTGCGTGAAACGCGCACACCAGGCACTGCAAGACAAGCTGAGAAATGGCATACACACATGCAGTGACAAAGGGGCACACACACACACACACAAAAAAAACGCAGCACGACCACGACCACGACCACGACCACGACCGTGCGGACATACATGCGTTTGCCCATCCGCGTTCAACCGGTGAGGGAAACGCGCTGAGGAACGGGGTGTCGCCCACGACGGTGAGCGCAAAGCGACCAATGCTCTCCGGTGGGAGGCCGTCCTTCAGCGCAAACGTCCACCCCGATATGCCGCCGCCACCAGGCATCACGTGGCCTGGACAGTGAGCGAAGGAACAGAGGGGCAAAACCGTGCGTGTGTGCGTGTGTGTGTATGTGTGTATGTGCGCATGTATGTGTTAGCTACATCATGATCACGATGATAGCACGTGTCTGTACTGTAGACAACAGCAGTCTGTGGGAATTCTCATTCAATACGTCGCTCGATACACTTCACGCGCGTGTTTCAACAGGTCATCAACCACCACCACCACCACCACCACCACCACCACCACCACCACCACCACTAATGGCGTGAATGCTCATCGTCGTCACCTTCGAGCAGCAGCTTGCGGTGGATGTGGATGTCTTCCAAGACGACGCGAAACGGGGCTTCGTCCACGCCAACACCGCGCCACCCGCACCCGACCAGCTGTCGGGGCGTGTTGTCCAGACCTGTGGTGAAGTCGGGGTGAAGTGGTGGTGAAGGTGAGGGGGAGAGGAAGGGGCAAATGTGGACCATTGGGTTCAGGTTCAGGATGCACACCTTGGTCATGACATACACACACACACACACAGAGGCAGACACATACACAGACACAGACACAGGCATAGACACACACACACACACACACACACACACAGACGCAGACACATACACACAAACACACAGGCACACACCGACGAGGACGAGTGCCGCGTGATTTTCGACGGTGTGGTCGTGCGGAATATCAAATCCATCACCACCAGCACTTGCGTCATTGTCGTCACCATCATCGTCATCATCATAACCATTGATGGCATTGCGAGTGCGGCCACCACCACTGGCACTACTGCTGCCGATGCCTGTTGGCATGGACAGGCGGCCTGATGGTCGCGCGTGCGTGGATGACAGGGAGGACAGCGCCCCCACTGAGGAGGACAGCGGGTGGTTGGGGCGCAGGGAGGACCGGGAGGACCGTGACGTGGCTGCTATCCTTGAAGGTAATGGGACAGCAAAGTCCGAGGCGACAAAGTTGCTTGGGGTGGTGAGGTTGAAGGTTTGAAGGTGTGGGGGCGGCACAACGGCCTGCAGCAGACTGATGGTGCGACGCGTGTCACGCTCAACCTAAACACCCACGATGCAAAGAAAGCGAGGGTAGGGATGTGTGAAGTGGGTAAGCATGGAAACGCGCACTGTATGTGTGCATGTGCATATGTGTGTATGTGTGTGCAAATGTGTGTGTGCATGTGTGTGTGTGTGTGCATGTATGACACATAATCAAGTTGGCGTTGTCACGCAGGATAGCAACACACCTCGATGAACCCTTCAAGGTGTCCCTGCTTGTAGGACCACGTTCGTGGCGTCAGCCGACGCGCACTCGCACGTTGTTGTTGTTGTTGTTGTTGTTGTTGTTGTTGTTGCTGTTGTTGTTGTTGTTGTTGCTGTTGTTGTTGTTGTTGTTGTTGCTGTTGTTGTTGTTGTTGTTGTTGTTGTTGTTGTTGTTGTTGTTGTTGTTGTTGTTGTTGTTGTTGTTGTTGTTGTTGTTGTTGTTGCTGTTGTTGTTGTTGTTGTTGCTGTGCACGACCTCGTGAGACGGCTGCGTGCTGGAATGCAGAGTCCTGCCCAGCACCGCCTGCACGAGCGCCACGCGTCTGCTCACCACCTCTGTTGCTTCTCCTTCGTGTCGCGTCGTGGCCGCGTGGGGCCGGAGCTGCGCAGTAGTCGTCCACAGGTGCAACATCACGAAGGGGGGGGGGTGGGGGCAGTGTCAGCCGTGCGGACGAGCGCAGGGCGTTCGGATCGGAAAGACGTGGCAGTGAACCAAACACGTTAGTCAGTGACACACAAGCGCAAGCGCAGACAGGGATGCATGCACAAGCGCAAACGTGGTGCGCAAAGGCGTAGATACGCACAAACGCGAACGCGCACGTGACATAGGCTTCCTCTGAGCAACGACACGTGCGCGTGCAACCGAGAGGGTTTCACTCACCTTGCGGTTGAGACGGCGAGGGCTCTGCCCGGTCCGATGGCGGCAGGCGCAGCCCAGCGCTGTAACAAGTGCATGCGCGAGCGCGCGTGCATCCGTGTCAGCAACCACCAATCGATCGCCCATGGATGCAGCAACATCAAGGCACGCACACACATGATACACGCACACACATGATATACACACACACACACACGCACGCACACACACACACACACACACACACACACACACACACACACACACACACACAAACATGATACACACACACATACAACGCACGCGCGATACTCACGTGCTGTTCTCCAGGTCTGCGATAGAGAAGTCGGGGTCTTGCTCAACACCCTACACGCGCACACGTGGTGGTGGTGGTGGTGTTGTTGTTGTTGTTGTTGTTGTTGTTGTTGTTGTTGTTGTTCAAAGAGAGCATTGCAAGTGAGGAAAGGTTGAAAGATACATGGTTGCACGCGAGATCGCTTCGGGATTCAAGATACAAAGAGCAAGTGCACAACGGCCGGATCAAGCACTTGAGCATCGCTACCTCATCAAAGTCATTCATGCCAAGGTCTCCTGCATTGTCACGCGGTCGTTCCCCGTCATCCTCGTCGTCATCCCCGTCATCCTCGTCGTCATCATCATCATCCTCATCATCCTCGTCTTCGTCACTTTCGGTAATGGGCCCTGTGTCTGGGTCCTGAAACTCATCGTCGTCTTCGCTAGTGTCGCCGTTTGTATCGGTTGAACCTGGTTCCTGCTGGCTGTGGAACTCGTCCTCGTCCGAGCTGCTTCCAAGGTCCATCCTGCGGAGGGGATCTGGCGCGATGCCTGGTTGGTACACCTGAACAGCTGGGAGATCAGACACAGCTGAAATGAACGTTGTTGCGCGTTCTTCTTCCTCTTCACCCGCTGCGTCCGCTTCGCCTGCTTCGTGCGGCCCTTCTTGCCTCGCAAAGCCTGGTTCAAGGCGAGCAGTTGCTGTCGCTCCGTTGTTTATGGCAGCGCCCTCTTGAACCTCGCCATTGCCAACGCTATTCACGGAAAAAGCCCATGGCTGGTTGGAACGCTCCATCCCAGCCTTGCGGAACACCAGCTCAAGCTCAACCCGTGCTCGTGTTGTGGAGCGGTAGACTCCTTGCTGCTGGCGGACTTGGAGCAGGTGGTGGTGGTGTGTTGTGCGAGGAATGCGCGGTAGAGAATGATTTCAGTTTTATCGACTGAATTCAGACCAAGAAGCAACTCGAAAGCAAACTTCGACCTCACACGACACGCAAGTGCACGACGTGTTCGCGGTCCACGAGTGCAGGCTGCTGGGTCAGCACCCACCAGCCTGTCTCACTCACGCCAGAGCAACTCGCGCCACGCCAGCCACCCCCGCGCTTCCCCTGCCCCTTCGAGCGGTGCCGCAAGCACCAACACTCGGCAGGCGCCGAAGACAGACGCTTCGACCTTACCAAGCTGGCTCAGCACTTCCGTTCCCAACATGCAGACGACCTGTCCCCAGGTCTCGCGGAGGCCTTCGGACTCACATACTGCACCAGCTGCACGGGGCACGTCTTCTCGCCGCGCCACAGATGCAGCAATCGGGCACACGCCCCCGAGGCCGGGGCTGATGCCGACGCCCGTGACCTCCCCATCCTCCAGCCCTCCGACGGCTAGTGGACTCGAGATCTGAAGGGCATCGAAGCGGACCTCGTCGAGCGCGTGCGAAACAAGGACGACAGCGACATCTTCCACTGCTACCGCACCGCCCAGAAGATCCCTAACCATCCCCTCGCGTATCGGGCCTTGCGGATCGCATCCAACATGATCGTAGAAGCTGAAAGCGACCCCAACAAGCGGAAGCGGCACAACGACTACGTCCTGGGTGCCTTCCACCTACTGCAGCTCATTTTCGCCAGGGACAAGGCACACTACATCCGGAACAACACACTACACGCCCGGATGTGCCTCCTCGCGTCGCGCAACTGGGACCGCCTAGAGGCACGAGCCGCGATCCGGATGCGGCCGCCACGCACCGACGAGGAAGGACGCGCCGGCAAGGCCCGCCAACACCTCGCAGCGGGAAACATCTCCAACGCATACCGCACCCTCGCAGATGACTCCACGCAACTGGACAGGGCCGCTTACCGCCGCCTGCTGGACGAGGCGTGGGCGGCCATTGGGGAGGCCCACGCACGGGACGTCGCGCCAATCCCCCGCAGAAGGTCGTGCTGAGCAGGAGCATGCAGAAGCTGCGCTGGTTTGCGCTGCCCACAGACGACATGGCTGCACCACCGCCATCAGTGACGGAGGTTGCAGCACAGCAGCAGCAGTAGCAGCAGCAGCAGCAGCAGTTTCAGCGTCGCCGCAACAACAGCACGCGTTCACAGGAGGGCATGGTGGAGTGGGGCGACCTGCCTCAGTGGTCGCTCGACCAAGGTGGCGGCGTTGGCAGATATGATGCTGACAAAAGCAGCGACGAGAATGGCAGCCCTGTGCTCTTGCAGGCGTGGGCGAGTGGTGATGACGACGGCGACGGCGTTGGTGGCAATGGCGGTGATGGTGGTGCAAGCAGCACCATCTCATCGTAAGTGAACATGCACTCGGCTGTGTGATTGTGTGATTCTAAAGTTCAATATTGTGCGTGTGCGTGTGTGTCATTGCGTTTGTAGTGTGTGTGTGCGTATGTGTGTCATTGCGTTTGTAGTGTGTGTGTGTGTGTGATTGACGTGCATATGTGTGTGCAGTTGCCGATGTAATGACTTGCTTAGATGAACGCTCATGGGTGTGCTGTGTGATGGTGTGGGGCACTGTGTTTCTCTTGCTTGCAGTGACGAGGAGGCCGAGTTGAACGGACCCGTCTGCTACAACTGCAACGGCCAGCCCATCGCCGAGGAAGTGGAGGAGGTGAGCATGAGTGCTTGTGTGTGTGTGTGTGTGTGTGTGCGTGTGTGTGCGCATGTGTGTGGTGCATGCTTGTGTGCGTGTGTGTGTGCATGCTTGTGTGCGTGTGTGTGTGCATGCTTGTGTGCGTGTGTGTTGTGTGCTGCCGTTGTACATGTACCTCGCAGCCTTGCAGCTATACCCCTTCACTCAGAGCGCCAATCGCGCATGTAACATCACGCCCACACTCAACCACTCACTCCCTCACTCCAATACGCTGCGGCACCTGTTCTCCTCCGTTGCATGCGCGCAGGCAGAGCGGCGTCGACGTCGCGCGAAAGCCCAGCGCGTGCTTGACGGGTTTGTCAAGGCAGGCGACCTGGCTGTCCAGGGAAGTGGCGTGGACCCGTCTCTTGCAGGCCTGATCCTCGGCGTGTGCATCTGCTTCACCTTTGGGCGCCAGTGGTGCAGTGGCCTCTTCTCCTGATGGGGGCGGCAACCGCGGTGGACGGCGTGACGAAGATGGCATGGTGGCACGATGTGCTCATGATTTGGTGATGGTGCGGTATATTGCTTGCTCGAGTGGTAATTGATGGCTGATTGCTTGCTTGGTGGCTTGATGTGATGGCTTGGTTGCTTCATGTGTATGAGTGAGTGGATGATGACTGCCTTCTTTTTCGTTTCACCGATCTTAAGTGTGTTTCATGAGCCCGCCGTTTTGCTTCCTTCATTTGCTTGTCCGTGCCCGTCTTGAGAACCGACATAAACAACACAAACCGCACACACGCGGCAAACGCGACCACACACACGCCCCCCCCCCACTCCGCACCTCTGACATGAGTTCACACCACTCGTGCAAGTCCACTACAAGTCGCCCATTCCAAACATCTAACCCCCTTTCGGCACCAATGTGTCTTTCATCTCCAAACACACTGCACAGGATCCAGACTTTTCGATCAAGGAAGTCATGGCGTGTCACGTCATGTCATGTCATATGTCACGTCACTCTTTTATGCACGGGATAGACGCATACCATATTTAGCTTCATGGAAGTCACACCATCATAGCACGCACAACAAGTATCACAAGGAGGCCTGGCCCACCACAACAAGCAAATTAGCAACAGCAACAGCAGACAAAACACCAGACACAGCAATTTCACCACCTCAACCACCACTACCGTCATCATCGTCCCCTGTCACCGCCACCGCCATCAAAGAAGGCAAGGGTGGCTGCACCAACACAAGTCAAAGAATGGTAGCGTTCTGCATTCCTTCGATGAGCTTGTTGAGGATCTTCAGCTTCTTCTTCACGTCCACCTCACAGCCTTCCTCCTCCCCCTCCTGCTCCTCATCATCATCATCATCATCATCATCATCATCATCATCATCATGTCCGTGGTCACCGTCGTCAGCGTTTCCACCGCCCTTATGCGCCATGTCACGCTTCTTCTGCTGCAGCCACTCAACAAGTCGCCGGCACGCATCCTCAAACCGATCACACGTGCTCCGGACATCAAACCTCTCGCCAAAGTCGGGGCGAGCCCATGCCATGGCCAGTGAGTAAAAGTCGTGGATGCTTTTGAACGGCAGCCGGTCCTCGCCCGAGCGACAAAACAAGTCAGGATGGCGTTCCAGCAGACAACAGTTGAACCCGTCCGGCGTGTGCGTTCCAAAATTCTCCACATCGACGATGAAGGCTGCAGTCGCATCCTTCACCGCGATGTTTTCTCTGCGGACGTCGGCGTGGGGAAGTGAGTGGAAACACAACCGCAGGAGCTGCTCTGCCACACACAACAGCTGCTCTGGCGTGGTGAACTTGCCGCTGCCGAGGAAGGGCATGACGATGGTGTTGCTGTTGATGACGCGAATCGGGTGACGTGGGTGCAGGATGCGCCACATAAGACGAATACGGTCGATGTTCTGGTCGTCAGGCACACGCTTCACCACAGTGTCGTCAATAATCTTCACATCTGCCGCCAGTTCTTCAAACTCGAAGAACACGCGCATGTTGGCCAAGACGACCTCGTCTTTCTGCTGCTGATGGTGCTGTGGCTGCTGTTGCTGCTGTAGTTGCTGGTGCTGCTGGTGCTGCTGTGGCTGCTGTGGCTGCTGGTGCTGGTGCTGGTGCTGTGGCTGCTGGTGCTGGTGCTGGTGCTGTGGCTGCTGTGGTTCCTCGGGGCAATCGCCGCTCAAGCGAATGCGCTCAACAAGAGCAGGTGGGATATCGCACTGGGGAGATGGCAGCGGTGGCGGAGAGGTGGTGGCAGGGGCTCCAAAGCATCTAGCGTAGAGCGAGTCGTAGTAGGCCAGCAGGGGCTCAGACAAGAGCACATCCAGCACACGGGAGAACTTGGACAGCTGACACCGCAACAACGCAGGAAGCACGAGAGCAGGCGTGTGGAGATATGCGACACATGAGCGTGTGGTGTGAGAGCATGTGGCCCGCCACCGACGGAGCAAAGGGACACCACAACGGACGAGGATAGCAGCATGTCAGGGGCAAGAGGAGCAAGCCATCACAACAACAACATATGCTAGCAGAGGCTCACCGTGGTGGATGCCAGGGTGATGCTGTTGATGACTGGCATCTTCTGTCCCCCAGCGAACGTCTTGTGTCCAAGGACGAAACCATACACATCAACACAGTTCCCGGCGACGGCGATGCCGATGGGGTACATCAGCCCCTTGATCACAGACTCCCAGTGGGGAACGCACTTGATAGCGTGCAATGCGTGTTCGCGCAATTGCTCCTTTGCTTCCGCTCGCTGTGCACGCTGCTGCTCGAACTGTAACATGCACACAAGGTGGATGCAGCAGTGAGCAAGCAGGGTTTGTGTTTCCACGCGTGTGTGTGTGTTTGCGTCTGCGCGTCCGTGTGTGCTTGTGTGTGTGTATCGTGTGGTGGCTGGTGCACAAGCAATTGGAATAAAAAAGTCAGAGGTGCACACGTCAATCATTACCTCAATGATAAGAGGCAGAAAGCTGTGGTGCAGCTCGCACACGGTCGGACGAAACGCAGCGTCAATCTTGTACTGCTCCGTGTTCGAGACAGGCGCGTTGGCGATGACCATCATGCGGCTGTGCAGCTTCTTGCGATTGAAGTAATTGTGAATGCACACCATCATTTGGTATTGTATCCACCCTTCGTATCCATCCGTGCTGATGGCTTCAAAGCCAGAGGCTGGCCCAGCAAAAACGCAAAGCAAGAAGAACACACGAGCTTGTGAGTCATTGCATGCCAGTGGCGGTGCATGTATGTGCATGAAAGTGCATGTACGTGCATGAAAGTGCATGAATGTGTGTGTACATGTGTGTGTACATGTGCGTGCGTACATGTGTGCATACATGTGTACGTGTATTGCAACCACCTTGCGACACACAACACACAACACACACACACACTATCACAAGCGCACAAAGTAGGCACACAATCACAGATGCTCTGATACAGGACTTAAGGCAAGTCACATAACAAAATACCACACACACACACCATACACACCACACCCCACATACACACCCCACCACACACATACACCACATACACATAAACTCACTCCCGTCGCCATGTGTTGCTGTGGCCATGTCAAGCTGCTTGGCGAGTTGTGAGGTGACCGCGAAGGTGGACGGGTCGACGGAGATAAAGTAAGGGAAGGAGCTCTCCACACCCCCCTCTCTCCCCTGCTTGTTCAGCCTTTTCTTTGAAGCTGTGCTTGGTGCCACGGTCCGCACAAGGTCTGCATGGGAGTGTGCGCGCGCATGTACATGCACGCGTGTATGTGGTGGAGCCAATTCGTTGGGTGTGAGTCATGGTAAGGCATGAGAAGCACGTCGCAAACAGCCGTCGCAGGACATCAACTCAAACATGCACTTACTCAGCCGCTTGTTGAGCGCAGATGTGTCCAGCTTGGGAGGTGTGCATTTGGACAATTGCAGCTCCACAGCGTCCCACGCTGACAATATCGCATGTGCACCAGTCGTGAACGGATTCAGCGCGTCCACTACAATGTCAAGGTCTGGGAATAAGACGGCGATATGTATGACTTGTTGTCGCAAGCACTCCAGCGCGTCAGAATCGAAATCACGAAGAGATGTCTCAACGTCAAGTCCTTTGCGAGCAGCATTGTACTTCTTCCGCAAAATCATGGCGGCTCTTTGGAGCACCATGACCTGCACCGTTCAAGCCGGGAAGACGAGGCGTCAGGAGAAAAGAGAAACGATTGAAACAATGTGTCAGCCCATATGAGATGCCATGCAGTACAAAGGTGCATTGGCAAGGCAGAGCCAACAAGCGTACCTCTGTTGCCGTCAGCTGCGGTGGGGCTGGCATGGTGTCTTCACTCATGGAATCCGCTGAGGATGGCACCTGAGGAAGAGACCAAAACGGTGGCAGGTGAGGCGCGAATGACACATCAGATGGCAGGTGTCGATGCTCTGTGGGTTGTATGCAGCTAACGCTGATGCAGCGTCAAGGCACATGTGTGTGTGTGCGTGCGTGCGTGCGTGCGTGCGTGTGTGTGTGTGTGTGTGTGTCGACGCCTGGGAGCACATGGAATACCTACAACTGGACATGCAAAGATGTGTGATCGACAAGAAAATGAGTACGTGTGCCATCACCTTTGTCGCTTGCGCATCGCCACTGGGGCGGCGCTCACAAGATGCTGCTGCTGCCACTGC